CTTCCTTTTATCCATTCTAACCCGACTGCTCAGCAATTTCATTGAATGCCCACCAGTTCTCATCTTGTGAGAAAGGGAGAAAAGGACTTCTTTCTCGACCTGCCCTCTCCCGCGCAGAATCTTGTAAACCTCGATCACGTCACCCCCCCAGCCGTCGTTTCTCCAAGCGAAAGAGCCCCAAGCGCTTCAACAGTTTGCGACCGCTACCCAAAATGACAAGGTTTAAACACAGCCGCTTCAATTGCTGAACTCAACCAGGATGCTCTTCCAAAACGGGAATCAAAAACGGATTGCGTCTGTGCTGTAACCATGGCGTCTGGGTTTTTTCTCTCTCTCTTTTTCAACCTTCCCCCTTTCCCTTGCCGTGCGCGTTGCCTACCGGAATTTGATATAAGAGGGTCTGACCCTGAAAGTGTTGTTCTTTCCTTCTTTCTTATAACGTGTCGCTATTGTAGCACGCAGCCGTTTTGAGAAATCAATGGAATGACACAAACTGGAGGAGGAGGAGGAAGAGTTTGGAACAGACTCGTGCCGATTTCCTAGAATATGCCAGACGGTCCGCAGCTCGCTCCGCTTTGCCTGGAAACTCCCTTTCCCCCCAAAAAAACCCAAATTGACCACCCACAGCGGTCTGCTCACTTCGTTGGAGCAAACCGACACGCTAATGTTTGCAAACCCCGTTCCGCCGCCGCTTTCCGCCTCTTAGGTTTGCAAACTGGGGTTCGAACCCGGGTTACGGGAAGAGATCCCGATTTAGCACCCGCCCACAGTTCGCGCACACAACGCAAAAGAAGACGAGGAGGAGGAGGAGGAGATTGGATTTATACCCTGTCCTTCACTACCCGAAGGAGTCTCAGAGTGGCTCGCAATCCCCTTTCCCTTCCCCTCCCCACAACAGACACCCTGTGAGGCAGGTGGGGCTGAGAGAGCTCTTTCAAGAACTGCCCTTGGGAGAACAGCTCTGAGAGAACTTGTGACTGGCCCAAGGTCACACCAGCAGCTGCATGTGGAGGCGTGGGGGAATCAAACCCGGTTTTCCCACCTCTGTTTGTCTCTTGCCTTGAGACCCCTACGGGGTCGCCATAAGCCGGCTGCAACTGGATGGCCGGTTCCCCCATCCCCGCCACTTAAGGCAGCCAGATGAGACGGTTGAAATTAGGAGCGAAGGAGGAGAGGACACATCTGCAGCTGGCTACCGATTTGCCAGCCCCCTGATGGACTGTCAGTTGGAAAAGCTGGATGTGGTGGTGGAAAGGGCCTTCAAACAGCCGACTGACAGTGACCCTTTGGGTCTTCACGGCAAGAGACGAACAGAGAAGAAGAAGAAGAAGAAGAAGAGATTGGATTTATATCCCGCCCTTCACTTGGAGTCTCAGAGCGGCTTGGCCATGGCCTGCCTCTGCACAGCAACCATGGACTTCCTTGGTGGCTTCCCCTCCAAGTGCTAACCACGCCCGACCCTGCTTGGCTTCCACACTCTGAGGAAACTGGGCTCGCCTGGGCCATCCAGGTCAGGGCTTCTAACTGTGTGCTAATGAGCAGAGGCGATTTGCCATTGTCTGCCTCTGCACAGCAACCCTGGACTTTCATAGCAGCTTCCCATCCAAGGACAAACTGTAGCTGGCCCTGCTTCGCTTCCGAGATCTGATGTGATCAAGCTAGCCTGGGCCATCCAGGTCAAGGCAAGAAACAGAGGCGGTTTGACGTTGCCTGCCTCTGCACGGCAACCCTGGACTTCCTTGGCTGCTTCCCCTCCAAGTACTAGCCACGCCCGACTCTGTTTGGCCTCCAAGCTCTGAGGAAACTGGGCTATCCTAGGCCTTCAAGGTCAGGGTTGGTGATGGTGTGCTAATGAGCAGAGGCAATCTGCCATTGCCTGCCTCTGCACGGCAACCCCAGACTTTCACGGTGGCTTCCCATCCAAGGACTAACCGGGGCTGACCCTGCTTGGCTTCCGAGATCTGATGTGATCAAGCTAGCCTGGGCCATCCAGGTCAAGGCGAGAAACGGAGGCCATTTGCCACTGCCTGCCTCTGCACAGCAACCCCGGACTTTCATGGTGGCTTCCCATCCAAGGACTAACCGGGGCTGACCCTGCTTGGCTTCCGAGATCTGATGTGATCAAGCTAGCCTGGGCCATCCAGGTCAAGGCGAGAAACGGAGGCCATTTGCCACTGCCTGCCTCTGCACAGCAACCCCGGACTTTCATGGTGGCTTCCCATCCAAGGACTAACCGGGGCTGACCCTGCTTGGCTTCCGAGATCTGATGTGATCAAGCTAGCCTGGGCCATCCAGGTCAAGGCGAGAAACGGAGGCCATTTGACATTGCCTGCCTCTGCACAGCAACCCTGGACTTCCTTGGCGGCTTCCCATCCAAGGACTAACCGGGGCTGACCCTGTTTGGCTTCCAAGCTCTGAGGAAACTGGGCTTGCCTAGGCCATCCAGGTCAGGGCTTCTAACTGTGTGCTAATGAGCAGAGGCGATTTGACATTGCCTGCCTCTGCACCGCAACCCTAGACTTTCATAGCAGCTTCCCATCCAAGTCCTAACCACGGCCAACCCTGCTTAGCTTCCGAGATCTGATGTGATCAAGCTAGCCTGGGCCATCCAGGTCAAGGCAAGAAATGGAGGCGGTTTGACATTGCCTGCCTCTACACAGCAACCCTGGACTTCCTTGGTGGCTTCCCATCGAAGTACTAACCAGGGCTGACCCCGTTTGGCTTCCAAGCTCTGATGAAACTGGGCTCGCCATCCAGGTCAGGGCTGGTAACTGTGTGCTAATGAGCAGAGGCGATTTGCCATTGTCTGCCTCTGCACAGCAACCCTAGACTTTCATGGTGGCTTCCCATCCAAGGACAAACCGTGGCTGACCCTGCTTAGCTTCCGAGATCTGATGTGATCAAGCTAGCCTGGGCCATCCAAGTCAGACAAAAAACGTCGACGAGATAATCCCATGTCTTCACTACACTGTATTCGTGAATGAACATGTTCCTCTCTTGCCTCTCCAAACCCACCTCCAGAAAGGAGACATCTAGAGTAGTAAGATGGGGCTCCTGGGGGAAAGACGGGGGGGCCACAGCCGAAAAGGCCCTGCCCTGCCTACCCACAGTGCCATGGGCGATCACAGGCTCGAGACGGCAAGATCGGCTTGGCAGAGGCGTCCCGAACTAATGTGAAATACCCGCCTTTCCCATCCAGCCGAGGGTACTCACGCCACTGACCAGGTCTACCAGCTCCTGATAGCAGATCTGTCCCTCGTCGTTGCTGTGAGCCAGGGCCACCAGCATCTCCAGCTTGGCCGGGTCCAGAGGCAGCTCATGGCTGTGCACCAGGCTGGCAAAGGTCTCCACGCCAATGAATCCGGTGTTTTCGGGATCAAGCTGCGAAAAGACGAGCAAGGAATGAGGACGGGAAAGGGAGAAGCGGTTGCCGGAATCAATTAAGATAAGAAGAAGAAGAAGAAGAAGAAGAAGAAGGAGGAGGAGGAGGAGGAGGAGGAGGAG